TTGTTTGATTTGTAACTGACTTTGAATCGTATCAAAGACAAGTTTGCACCAAAACATCTCTTTCCTCTTCCATTTCAGGCATTAAGTAATGGCAGAAGTACACACTTGGGCATAAAGACACACAGCCAATGGACTTCGCCTAAAACATCAAACTAAAGTCTTTGGAAATTCCTACCAACTCTCAAATTACCTTAAAACCAGTTGTTACTCATCGCTTTCAAGTCTACGAAAGTGAAATTGAAACATAATTGAGTTACATAAACAATAAACGTGGAAAACAGTTGTAAATAGATACTGTAAACAACTGAAGTCCAAATTGTAGCAAAAGCATCAGAAACCTTTCATGTCTACTCGGCTTCCTAATTCTTAACGTTTATTAAATATAAATAAAATTGACTAATATTTTTTTCGAATAGTTTTTAAGTATAACTCAAGAAAATGCGCAAAAAATAAAATACTTTTAAGTAGTTCAAACTTTACGTTTTATTTCCCAAATTTCGTGGTCTTTTTCCTTTACTACTGTTGTTCATTCCTTTGTTTCTTCACAAATATAGGATAAGTATCGGAAACATTACAATAACTTCTCAATATCACTCTCCATCAAATGTAAGCTCGTTACTCTCTAAATTCATGTACTACTTGGTTGAATGAGCAGAAGCATTTTTTCATTCAATAATTAGAAATTCGTAAAACACGTATTTGAGTCACTAAATAAGTAAAGAAAAGTAGAACTGCGATGAAAACTTAATTTATGTCACTTAATCACAATATTCCAAAATTTATGCAGTCAAAAAATTTAAAAACAGTAATTTTTGTGCTCCTTTTGCCTTTATTCTCAAGCAATATGAGAAGTAATTAGCTAAATATCGAAACTGATCACCCTCTTTTTTGTTTTGCTCCCTTCACCTTTTGAAATTTGCATTCTTCTTAGAAGGTTACAATTTATGAAAGCTTCAAACATTGTCTTAAGCACTCGAAAATCTGCAATATAAAATCCCATATTAATTAATAAAAAATATACCTTACAGGCATATTTTTACATAATCTCAACCTTACAGACAGTTTATTAGTCTCTCGCCAAATACACACTCAAAATTCAATACAACACAGTGAAAAAATCATGACTACAACAGCAACGTAAACAGATTCAGTAGTGCGCATAAAAGCTATGAAAGTTCAAAGTTAGTTACATCAAATACTGGAGAAACAACAGAGTAGAATGATAATTGAGCATTTTCATTTTTTTAACATTTTTTTAAAAGTTTCATTTTTTAAATTATTTTTTTTCTTGTCCTTTTCTAAAAATTTTTTCTTATCTTTTCATCTTTTAACCTTTTTTGCTATTGTCTGCTCATTTTGATAATAAAAAAACAATCAAGCAATAAACACTAGAATTTACATTCACCACAAATATAATACTCATTGCTAACTGAAATAGTAGTTAATTAATGGCACAAACAGGCCTCAAAATTATGTGGCATTTGTCAAGCGTCACACTGCAATCTTTAAAAAGTAAGGAGCTGACATGACCGCCCAATCACTCTTTTCTCGATAGTGTAATGAATCCCAATCTCTCACTTCTAATTTACATAACTATTTGGAATAAATTCTTATTACCAAGAAGGATCGCAGGGCTAATAAGGAGCTGGCATGCTCGCCCAATCACTCCTTCATTCAATAACTCAATAATAAGACCGTAATCATCATGAATTTGGACGGCCGGCCAATTGTGTACCATTCGTTAACTAATATTTATAAATTGGTTTCTTTAAAGACATATGCTATGAAATTTAGCATTACATACAAAGTAGCTACATCGCCAGCGTTACTACTCATTAGAGCAATGTTTTTTGACGTTCAGACACGGTCGCTGACTTTGTGATACTCACAGTTGATAAGGTATCAACTTCATTTTATATCTTATTAAAAAACATACATTAGGACGTTTTCCCAACTCATACAATTTCACAGTTTCATATTCTGTGCTACTACCACCCACCAGTTATAAATAGTAATGAAGGCATTCTTGAACCGAAATGATAACACAATTAAGTAATAAAACAAAAATGCAATCACTGCAAGCACAATACTTAAATACTAACTAAAACAGTACTTAATCAACTGCATAAAATAACCTACGAAGCTTATAAGCATTTATTTGTAAATGCCACGTAACAAAAGTGTCACACCGCGACCCTCAGAAGTAAGGAGCTGGCATGGTTGCCCAAGACTCCATCTCTACTCAAATACATCCATATCATCACGTCCAGGATAAACTTAATACGAAAATAGGTCACAAAGACTAAGGAGCAGGCATGATAGCCCAATAACTCCCTCAATCAATAATTTAACGATAAAAAACCGTAATCATCAATATAAATGTAGACGGTTTCGCCAGCTTCGTCCCGTTGACAAACTATTACTTTAAGCTAACTGCCCTCAGACATTACTTACATAAATCACTTATACACAGAGCAATCAATCATCTCGCCATCGTTACTTTCATGCCACGTCTTTGAGCAGTTAGTGATGGCTACGTGTTAATTCCACCTTCAGACACAGCCAGTTGTGCATGAAAGTAAAATTAAGGAGAAGCCATCACCAACTGCTCGCTGCTCTCACCAGTTACCTACTTACTCATCTCACCAAAAACTATCAACTGAACAATTGAAAACCTCACTTACCCAATCCTAATGCTCCCTCACTCTCCGCTATTTCAGCGTGCAAATGTCTGCATTTTGTTACGACGACAACTATTTGTATCTCACAACTATTTTGGTTTTTCGTCATGAAATTGCGCCGAAATTTCGCATTGGATGGAAAGATAACTGGCAAAACTATTTCAAGAATATTACCTTTTCGATACTTTCACTATGTCACGAGACAGTGATAAGTTCTATTAATAAGCGTTACAAAGTCATCAGATGTGATGTATGTATACGTAATGTGTACTACCAAATTAATTTTTTGAAATCGGAAGTAAAGAATGAGGTATAATCATGAAGATATCTGCAATGCATTTATGGAACATTCTAGAACATTCTGTTCATGGAACATTCTGGAACTTTCTGTTTTTGAAGATATCTGCAATGCATTAATGGAACGTTCTAGAATCATGAAGATATCGTTAATGAACGTTCTAGAATCATGAAGATATCTGCAATGCATGAATGGAACATTCTGTTCTCATTTAAACAGTGATATTTTTGCATAAAGCAAAGAGCAGTAATTTATTTTTCCTATGATACTACTACTTTACTATGATTAAGATAATGGATGTTGAGGAATATATCTTATAAAGGAAAGATGTGTGGTTATAAAGAAGCAAAGTAAACGTTTTATGCAGTTTTTGGTTCTGAGTTGTTTTCAGTTTTGCCATTTAAGAATATAAGCAGTCAGGAACATGATTGAATCTCAATTAATCTATCTTAGAGCAGAAATAGAAGATATTTTATGTATATAAATGTCTTATTCATTTATGCATTCTTTTGTTTTGTATCAGCTCAAGTGAAGATTAGTGAGGAGATCATTTCAGCTAGTGAGAGTGATTTTTATCTGATCTCCGCATCTTTTTACAAATATGAAACAAGTGAAGTCGAGCTAACTATTTCTGAGAACAACGCCTTGATTTTCACGGAAACTGGAAAGAACACCATGGCCTCGCATCGTCTTGAATGGATCAAAAGAACAATCTACATGCAAAATTATTTTTCAGTAAGTTCCAATTCCACTTTGAGCATTGAGTTAACATAAACTACACATACTGCTACATCATTTCACTCAGGAATTTATGTATAATTAAGAATTTAAATTACAGATTTTCAAGCTCGTTTTTCCGTAATTTCTGATGTTTTTCGACTACATGTAAAAAGTTAATGTTGAATATTGTATTATTCTTAGAGAATATCATAGAGAAGGAAGAAATATTCCCATAAAATACTCGTTAAGTCATCTGATTCCTAATACCGCTTTGCGTGGAATATGTTCGAAGCAAACTACTTCTCTTTAGTAAACTGCTGTGTTATGTACATCACTACTAAGGAGCAACGAATAATTCAAAGCCATGTACTATTTCCTCAGTTATGACTTTCTAATGTCAATGTTATATTATTACATTACCGCAAGTTTTTCAGAAACGTCGACTTGATAATGAGAGTGGAATATTACAGTAGTGTCGTTCAATGATGTATCGTATAACATCTCGACAAAAGATTAGTAAATGTGTATTGTATAATAAAATAATCGTCATTATTTATCATCAGAAGACTGTACAACAATGGCTAAACAAGAAAACGAATGATTTATCTGCAATTAAGTTCCTTCAACTGTGATTCATTACTTTGCTAAATTTTATAGCAATAAAAAAATAACTATAATTTGCTACCAAAATACAACTCTTTTTCTCATATATATATGTAACTATTGGGATGTGTGTATATAGCATAGAATTTTGTCAAGCTATTATAATACTATATCATTAATGACCCATAATATAAATCCTGAAAGTAATAAAAATGCCTAACGAAAGGAAGCTATCAATCGGTTAAAAACTAATTGACAACAGAGCTCGAGAAATGTAATGATTTCCACAAGCTACATTAGCAAATATCCGAAAACAAAACTGTTCTTCAGCAAATAATAATAGTAATATATATTGAAGTTAGGCTTCCTAATTTAATAAAAAAGCATGCATAATAAGAATATCCGCAAAAGAAATACTAAAATTTCAATAAATATGAGAAATTGAATTGTGACAGTTGAGATGCAGAGTAAATAACGATACTGCCCGCATGCGAGAATGCATCATTTAGCAAGCTTTTATCACTATTTCTGAACAGCAAATTTTGCCTTGAGATTAATGAAATTATAATATTGCCATTTTCTAGAAAGTTGCAGATCAGGGCGTATCGTTTGTTTCATATATTCAAATTTCAATCTCGTAACAAATAAAAAAATCGATTAGACGACGTACACTTTTTTGATCGTCTATGACTCGAAAGTTAACGTTTACGTTGTTTCAACTTCTGACGACGCTTGCGTTTAGACGAAGAAGAAAGCTGTGACTGCTGTGTTGATTGCTGCTCAGAAAGTTCTTCTGACTCCATAGAAGGTTGTATATTACATTCAGAAAATTGCGATATAGATGTAGAAAATTGCGTCGATGAGTCAGCAAGCGTGGAAGGCTGTTGCTGTGATGTACGTAGTTGCGGTGAAAAAACTTGCGATTTAAGTATAGAATGTTGTGAAATAACTTCATTTGATTCTAATTCTGATTTAGAGTGTTTTGGTTTTGACTTGGAATCTTCTGGTTTTGATGTAGAAAGTTGCAATTGAGGCAACAAAGGCGTGAGAGATTTTGGTGAGAAAGTTTGTGATTCTGGTGTGGAATGTGGCTGAAATAACTTAGAAGATGCCTTTTGTGATGTGAGGTGCGATTGTTTTAAGTTAGAAGCCTTTGCTTTCAAGTTAGAAGGAAGCAATTTAGATAAAGCAGACGGAGAAAACTGGAATTGATATGTTGTAACTGCCTGTGATGGTTGCAGCAAAGTTTGTGGTTGAAAGACTTTTTCTTGCGGCGTGAAACTTTCTGTTTGCAGTTGTGACTTCGAATACTTGGTAGATAGAGATTGTAAAACAGAACTTGAGGAAATGTTGGAAGCGGCAAATGATTCGGTTTGAGATGAAGTTTTTTGACATATGTGTATCTGAATAAGACAGATCATACATTACAGATCAAAATGAGAAAGAAGTTAAAACAAACCCAAGTATGTCTAACAATCTGGTAACAATATAAGTTAGTTTTAATAAATGTGCTCACAGTTAAACTTAAAACTCAATAATCGCTTGCGAATCAAATTTAGTGCGGAAGTGTTGAGGAATTATTTTAAAAGTAATTATTAATTTTACGGTGGCAGTATTTTCAAATACCAATTCAGTATTTTTCAGTCACAAATAGAAGCTGTCAGTAACTAACTACTTGTTAATGATTTAATGAGTTGTTAAGAAATAACCTCACTGGACTTCTGGCTGAATGAATCTTCTGCGTTTAAGGAAGCAGATTGAATCACACTTCTTTCCAGCTCCTCTTTCAAGCATATCCTGTCCATTTCCATTACACTTGCTTTCGTTGCCAAGAATTGCAAATTTTTGATGCAGCAATCAGATAGCAGTACTTGCTAAAAAACTCCTTCTCGTACAATATTAGCATTGAGCGATATCAAATTTATTTCTTACAAATCTTTTGTCTGCTTACTTCATTACCTTTTGTAATCTTTCTCTCTCTAATACTAATTCAATTACAGTTCTTTCATAGCCACAAAATTTTTCACTTGGCATGAAGTGCTGTGCAGCTTGAATCATTGCAGCTAACCCTGATCCTTTATTTGCCTCATTGCTGATCGACGTACAGAATGACTTTACTGTATGCGCAAATTCCTCTATATTTTCCAGTGTATTTAATATTTCCTAAAATGAATGCAAGTAAGCTATAATTGCTATTTCTGATCCCATTTTTGTTCTGGATTTGAAAAAAGGAATCATGCCTTTATAAAGGAACAATGCTCTTAATATAATGATTAAAATAATGAGCTCGGGTTCGATGCCATTCGGTTAAAATTTTAACCTGCATCAGATTCCAAACGATACATTAACACTACTCATAATAATTTGTTTGGTGATTCTTTTTTCGCTACTGACCACCGTCTAGTTGATATATTGCTCATAAAGAAGTAAATTTTACCTGCTGTATAGTATGAGCTTGTTCAGATTGAGTGCGCAACTCAAATGCAATATTTTTTAACTTTTTCAGTTCCTTTTTGCATCCAAGGTTGCTCAGTATGCCTTCTATCTCTTGTTTGTCATAACATTTCTGTATAGCTGGACCAACTTTTTGTTTATCATCAGATTCTCGTGGAAGAGAATCAGATTTGTGCTTATGACCAGATTTCTGTGGAAGAGTATCAGAAATATCTAAAAGTACTGAATCGTTACTGGATTCATCGTATTCAGTAATGTTGTCGCTCAGATTTTTCTCTTTTACTTTTCCATCTTTGTTTTCATCCAAATGTGTTTGTAGTTTATTTGTAAGCAGTGGCCAATCTTCTACTGAAGTCTACAATATCAAACACTGTCAAATAATACAGTTTTTAATAAATTTAAGTAAAAAACTGTGAGAAAGATTTTTGTCTTTTTAAAGGCTGAAACAATTACTATAAGTTTTGTTATGTCAAAATTTACGCAATATGCAAGAAAAAGATTACATTGTCGACCATTTTTGAGCAGTCTATTAATTTTTTGAAGGATAATTTTGTCTCTGATACTTTCTTCTTCTTTGGAGATTCAAGAATTCCAAAAATATCGCTATGAATATTCTGAATGAATTGGAATTATTGAAAGACAAAATGACGATAAGAATGTTTTTTTATTTTTAAATTAATTTATTTCGTACAGACTTTATTTTTATATCGAATAAAATCATTGTGCATTTATTTATAGACTGAATATATAATTAAAAAACAGTAGTGCGAGCCTGAAACCATCGCCAAACAGCACAAGAATCTTCACTTAGCTTCTTCACCAACGTTTCTCTGCACTGAGAATGCGCACGAAAAATTGACATCTCCCATTGTTTCCGCACATCCATTTCTGATCCTAACATTAGTTTTTTCTAAATGCAAAACATTGAATATTATTTATAATTTTTTTTTTTGAAAAAGTTTATGGCCTGTTAACACTGTAATGCAACTTTTTTAATGCTTTCAAAACTGATATATTCAATTAATGCTTAAAATTTATTTATTTATGCAACTTTTTACTTTGCACCTGTGTTTCATCTCGTCCCTTGTAATCACAACAAATTTTCACTTATATAACGTATAAAAACAATAATGATTGATATATTTGTCGGAGGGTACACTTTTTTGACGTTTATTTAAGTTAAAAAACAGAAATTAAAAAATCAAGTTTGGATTTCGTTAATCATAGTCGTGGTATATTCAAGGCTCAGTCACGCATCAAACTAAACTACTAACGCCATCAATACAGTGAGTTGTGATTTCAAACTTCTGGCAAAAAATTTTCATATTTTGTATTTGAAAATCACTCAAAAAGCAAAAAATATTAGACTGCTCAAAAAGTCGAAAATGTTATATAACAGTTGCTATTGACTGTATCTACAATGTAATATTTATTACAATATTTATCATAAAATGACCGTAAATAACAAATTTGAAGATAAAAGGTCATACCAAATTTTGTCCTTCACTGTAATCTGATATCATTTTGACCAGTGTAATGAACAAATTTGTATCATTTTGAGTAAATATTTTCGTTGCAGTTTCGAAAAAAATAGATGTTAAGGTAACATCTCCTTCATGCCATTTACGCAAAGTTTTTGTCATTTGTGCTTCAATTTTTTGCGTCAATGCATTAATTTTCATTTGCACAAAATTTTCTAACTTTACTACTTCATTTTCTTTGTTTGATTCTTCTATCCAATTCTCCAAATTATCGCTAGGCTGATTCGAGTTTTTCAATTCTAATGAAGTTTCCAGCAAAAGTTTAACTAAATCATAGACAGCAGTGCTCAGTTTAATTTCTAGCTGCTTTTCTGACATTTTAGGAATGATTTGCTTAAGTGACTCCACGTATTTTTTAAAGACATTGTTAATCCCTTCGATAAATACCATAATATGCTCATTTCCGCTTGCTACTTCCTTCTGCTTTCCTGTTATTCTAAACTTTACCATTTGATCTTTCACAATGTGCAACCTTTGCATCGTGTTTACGTACTAAATAAGACAGAATGAAGTTTATATTTATGCTCAGAAAACTGTAAATTAGCTCATTTGTCTGATTATGGTATGGTTATTCAGGCGAGATTCTTGAAATTAATCGAAAATACATTATAAAAACTATGCTTGAGATATCACATAAATAAATGGGATGTTATTAAAATTAGAAAACTGATATAAATTTTTTCAAAATTACTCTTTTTTGTACTGTTTCCTTCTCCTTTGTCAACTTTTGTATTAAGCCATCCATGTCTATAATCACACTGTCAGATTTTTGCAACTGCAAAGAACAATTAATTGAATTATTACTAAATTTTTTGAAAGCATTTCCGTTTTAAATTTGCAAACTTGAATATTTTTCATGCAAATTATGCAAAATCAAACTTCACACTGTTATCATTACAGTTTTTGCATTTTTTATTCATTTTTAAAAAGTAAAATTTTCCGAAATACAGTTTACTGCAAGTAGCAAGATTAAATTGAATATTATACAAATTGAATACCTTTTTCTGAAGGTCCGAAACTTGTTCTTCTAATGCGTCTACATTTTCGCTCAGTTTTTCTATACTGCTATACAAATTCTTTACTTCCACAGATTTTCGCTCTACTGCTTCTTCCTGTAAAATAATTTTCAAATAGCGTCAATGATTATTACAATCCAGTATATAAATAACACCTTTGAAATATCAAATGATCAAATGTACTTGGGACATAATTGAATTCAAAATATTCAAAATTTACGGAAGTTGAAAAAGCGCTATAAAAATTAAAATCGAGAACATTACCTTTTTCAATTTCATACTGTTACAGAATAAACAATTTGAATAAGCCCAAAATTTGAATTGTAAATATTAAAACAGATGTATAATTAGGTAACTGCAAATTAAAACAAGTAAACATTGAAAAAGCTATCACTCACCGTTCCCGCATAAAAATTTGACCAAATTCGACTGCATCGATTTATACTTGCGTGTTTAAAATCCATTCTTTCTTCTACTTTGTTGATGCACTCTATAGATGCTTTTTCATAAACAGCTTGTGATAGTTCTTCGAATACACATATATGTAAGGCGAGATCGACAAGTAACGTGTCGTATAACATTGAAATCTTTGCATCAGGAATGGATGGATAATTCTTAATTTCAGAATCCAAATATTTGATTGACTTTTTTGTTGAATATGATTGTTTCCTTTCTCTCGTTTTCAAAACTGTCAGCACATCAGACAACTTTTCGACCAGAATCTCCCGGGTATCAAGAATTATTTGTGGGAATGTTTGTTGCGGTGGAGGTGAAGAAGTAGCAGCATTTGCATAATTGGAATTAGGTCCAATTTCATTTGATTGCATGTTCTGATTCATGCTTGCAAATTTGAATCCCAGCAATAGTCTTCTAATTAAATAATCTTGTTAATATCGATTAAGTCTTATCAAGAATGTGAAGTTCTGAAATCTAATAATTATTTTCTTGAGAAATTAAAACTTAACTGAGACAGAAATATCAAAGTTATAGATAATCAGTTAATTATCGAAGTAATTAGTAAAGTAAAAATACTATAAGTAAGGTCATTGGATAGATGGGTAAGTAAAGTAGATAACATATGTGATTTCCAAGTTTATCTATTACTGCCGATCATATTGAGGAATTGACCATTTTGAAAATAGAGCAAAAAATAATGGCATAAAATCATAAAAAAGTTTGTTAGCAAAGCTAGGAACTTATAATTTTGTTGTAAGAACGAAACTAAATAAAAAACTAAAAAAATAATTTGAGTTGACTTGAAAAGACAAGTTTTTTCTTTACAAAAAACGTAAATTTTATTCGACTTGAAATTGACCTCAGTTTCTGTTCAAAATTTAATCCTAAATAAGTGAAAGCTCTAAACTGAAAGTTCAAAATATATTTCTGCTTTGAGTGTTGAAAGAAAAAATTCTGCCTGTTAAGCCTTATATTTTCATTTGAAAAACATACTGATTTTTTGGCAAGAAACAGATATCAATTTTAATTCAATTAATAGTGAATTCTGTTCTTAGACTATAAAATTTAAATTCTCTTGCATTTCTATTTGATGCAAATATATTTCTGAAAATATGAAGCTTTGCAAATTAAAATTAATTTTTATTTTATGCCATCTAATTTTTCATTTTTCATTTGTGTTAAATTTACTAACGCTTTCATCTCATTCATTTTTTCAAGTTAAAGCTTTATTGTTATTTTTAAATTTACTTCTTAATCTTTATGAGTTTTACTGATTTGTTAATAATTCAATCCAACTTCAATGTTTCAATGCTTTGCCTCAATGGTACTAAAGACGAAAAGTCTAATTTTATATGAACTAGTGTTGCAGATCAAATACTTGCTGATTACATTGATCAGAAACTAATCATAAATATTATCTGCCAATTAATTAAGCACTGATTTGACACTTTACAATTAAAACTAACAACTTAATCCCAAATTGTTCAGAAACAAAGTAAAACCTTCGAAATGTCATTTCTTACTTTAATTAGCAATCTTTCTTGATGGCATGCTATTTATGTGACACTATATGTGGTTGCTTGAGACAAAATACTGAAGATATGATATTTCAGAAGAGTATTACTATTGTAAAGAAAAAACAGACTTTAAAAATGGGGTAGAAAAAGTAATACGGAAATTATTCTTCTGTTAAAATGTTATGACTTTCAAAATAAATAGCTTTATTTATTTTTTATTCTGGGATTTTAATAAACAAGTTATTTGTGATGATTAACTTCATACGTACTGTGACGTAAAAGGAGCTTATTTAAAATTTGTCTACTGTGATCATATTTCATATCTGAAGTTAAATCTCGAATCCTGCATTGCACATAGTATCAACATTTGAATTAAACTCAAGATAATGGTGTTTGTTTTTTCTAAATGTATATCAGTGTGGATACTAAATCGAAATCGGAACTTGACAACAGGTATGATATAGACATATATTTTTATGGGTTAGAAATGCAAACGAAAGATTAATTGAAGATTTAAGAAGCCATATGGCAGTGTGAATCGTTAATTATTAGCTTGCATCAGTGATTGTCACCGATTAATTTACTTTTGCAAGTAATATTACTGTTGCTTAAGTTACCGTAGCCTTAGTATTCATGCATCCAATCTCGTATTACTTTATCTCACTTTCTTCTATAGCATTTTATTCTTTTTCATTTTCTAGCTAGAATCTAAAAATAAACAGTTGTTACTGCCTTCTTACTTTTATACTTAATTAAAATTTCTTCTGACTTTAAATTCTTCGAAATCATCCACCTTTCTGATTGGCTTCTTTGCGTAAATAAATTGAGAAAAAGAAAAAAAGAAGATCGCATCATCAAATAATCGAATTTATATTAAAATAAAAAAGACTGAAAGACAACTACATGAATAGTTATTGAATATTATAAGAGTTAAAATTTGAATCATTACTTGCTGAATCTGAAAATTATCCCGTTCTGTGAGCAATGACTTATCCTTATTATGACAAGCATTATTTCTTGGATCAGTATTCATTGCTGTCAACTGTTTCTGAAGTATATAATGACAACACTGAAACTCAGTATACTCCTCAAGTTGATTTTTACCAAAATTGGATGCCATCTAGCATTTATTTGCCTCCAAATCATACAGCTTTGGAAACTGTTTCGGGAAATTCTAATAAATATGCAAGTAAGCCTCGATGGCAACTTGATGAGTGCTACGAATCTCCAGTGAATGTTACCAGTTATTATCAACCAGTATCCACTAATCAGAGAGAAGTGCCTACCACTGATTTGAGGAAGAATTACATTTGTTCTAATTTTCAGAAAAAATACTGCCAGAAAAATATGTTGAAAACAAATGTACGGCAACACTGCAATTATTGTTCATTTACTTGTCAGGTATGTGTTAATTTTTTGCTACTTGATCAAGTATCAATTCATACTTTTCTACTTAACGATATTTACTAATTCAGAAAAAAATCATTTCTTGCAAAGTAAAGTTTAACCTTATCAAAGGTTACTTGTAAGCAAATGAATATTTGCATAATAGTTAACAATAAATTTCATCGCCATGAAGGATGAATTTCTTAAATAGATTCACGTATAAAATATTCAGATACTCATAAAATTTTTACAGTAATATTTTTTTATCTTTAAGCATGAAATTTGAAAAGTTTTCATGATTAGCGCAAATATTTTACTCACGGTCTTTTTTTCATTATAAATTCCATGTACATCATAATAAATAATAATAATTAAAGTTAATATATGATGATAAATAATAATAATCAAAAATAAATGGGCACAATTTTAAGATTTGTGGAAAATTTTTTTCACAAGCAGCAAATTTAACAGCTCACCAAAGAGTTCATACAGGTAAATTTGTTTTTAACTACTAAGTTTTACTTTTCAGTTGCATTCATTTTCCCGAAATTTAAGAAGTTTTACATAAATTTTATTTCTAAACTCAGAAAAATTTTCAATAAATATGCAAATTTTCAGCTTATGCAACATTGTGCTAGAAGTTTGTGAAAAATTTCAGTGTTTAAATTTGCGATTATATTTCGAATATGACTGAAATTCTGTTTGCTGTATTCATCAAGCAGCGTTTTTTATAATTTAACAATAATTCATTACCATAAATGTACACTTAAGAAATGTATGAAGTAGTAAACTAACTGTAAGATTTTGACCAACAATAACACTGAAGAAAGTTCTGTAACAAAATTGAAAAATGTCAATCATAGGAAGTAAGCGTGACAATTATTGTGTCTTCTTGTTTAAAAATAGTGGGAATAATGCCATGCAAAGCATAGAGTTATCTTACAAAACTAAGCATTGACCTATTTTTGATATCTATACAAAAATCTCTTACTGTCTATTCAAATTAAGCTTTAAAGTAACTTTAATCTCAGAAGATAATCATAATTACAGGTTTTCAGTTAATTAACGTATTATACAAATAAGAAACACAGTTGAAAATTAGAAGAAATAACAAGAAGAGAGCAGTTATGCTTACTGTTATTAGAACACATGATCTGATTTTGAGTCAATTTAATGCACAAAATGGATAAAATTCATTTCATTACACTTGCTAAACTTTGCTATTTCCTATAAAAGAGTTGAAACTTCTTGCTGGTTCAAATATTTAAACATAATTTGCAGGTGAAAAACCATTTTCATGTCCAATTTGCAACCGGCACTTCTCTCAAAGTTCATCACTGGTTACCCATAAAAGGTATATATATCTCTGATATGATCAATTTTTGCATATTTGAATATCCTCTTTACCATATTAATATTTTTGTGAATTAGCAAAAATTAGCTAATTCGCTTATTATTATGCCAGTATTTAATTTTATATAACGAAAGTTTTTGATTTTGAAGATCTGTAATACTAACTATTAAAAAGACGTACACAAATTCAAACGTGAATCTTGGAAATCCTTCACAGATCTTTACTAAAATTTTAGAATCAGTGAAATATTTATCTTCAGTTGCTGCTAGACCACTACTAAGTACCATATATATATTATACTTTGCATCAAATCGTGCATATAAGTAAACTTCAATATGAAATTTGTAATATTTTTGGGAAATTTTGCGGTTAAAAAATATCCATAGTCACGATGCAATACGAATAAAACTAAACCATGTTGCCATATTTACAAAATCAAACTAATTTTGTTATGTGAAACCATTGCCGAGGTTGAAACGAACGACCAAGTAAAATGAAAAATTTTATAAATATTTGCTAAATTTTCTGGAGTATTTCTGAAATTTTTAACCATCAAACTTAATTGCTATTCTCGAATCTACAGGGTTATTTCTCTTCTTACTTCCTCATTCATTTTTTTTTTCCAGTTCATCATACCAACCAATGTTTGTAAATGATTTCTGTAATTCAGAACACATACTGGTGAAAGACCATATCCATGTATGCATTGCAACAAAGCTTTCACCGATAGTTCAACACTAACGAAGCATCTTCGAACACACACTGGTAATATTTGACATTTCCAGTACTCATATGACATTAAAATTATGACATTTGAATTGACTTTACTGAATTGAAGTAAAAATCTGACATTTCATATTCAATGGAATACTAAATCTACTTTGACATTATCACTGCTGATCGCTTTCTATCTTAAATTGGATTTTGTTTTATGCAAGACTATTTAGACTGCAATTATGACAAAACTAAAACTAAAGAATTCACATCATTTAGAATGCATGATTTATTTACGGCATATTCATGCCGCAAGGGTTAGCACTATCCCAGTTAAGAGAGCGAAGTATGGAATCTTCCTGTAACTTACGCCTAATCCTATCATCCCTTTCAGCAGAAGAGTACTTCTACTAATAATTATGTTTTCATACACTTCTTGATTTCAGGTCAAAAACCGTACCAATGTTATATATGTATGATGCGTTTTACACAATCTGGAAATTTGCACCGCCATATGAAAACTCATGAGACTAATGAGAAATGATATCAACTGTTGTTTATGATTACATTGATATCATAAGGTGCAAAGTGTGATCAAATTAATAACATTATGTTTTGAATCTCTCCAAAATTTTAATTCGAAATCTCCATGGTCAAAAGATACCTTCACAGAAAGTAAAAAAACCATCATAATAATGACCACATGAAAATGCAAAAATAGCAAAAAACAACCTAATGACATCAACATCGAATCACTGACTGTTTGAAGACAACAAACGGAAACATTTCGTTCGATAATGAGCATCACATACATTTTCTAAACCTCCGCGGAGACTATTACAAAAACACCACTTGGAAAAGTCAATTGAAATGACTAGGAAGTGAGAAAAATATGAGTATGAAGTTTATGATATTGCAAGCATAAGATATACCAGCACTTTTTTATTCTTCTTTCAGTGACCATTTGTTGCTTTGGAACGTGATAAGGTTTGTAACTTATTAAGAATGTATTTTTATAATTAAAAACTTGATAATACTAGCGTTCTCTATAATGATACAGTTAAAATGGAGTAACAATGCTGCTAAAAAAATGCTTTGATAAATGGAGAAAGGCGGAACCAAGTTGTACCCGGATTACAAACAGTAATAATCGTTTCCACACAAGGGTGTTTTAGAATGAATCGTACAGAGTTAATATTCCGTCTCGCCAGTATTTCTTCTTCTGGCAGTTCGAAACTAGCGCTACAACAATATTTTTCAATAATTGTAAAGAAACAGTTGTTCTTCATGATATGATGCAAATATATAAATGAAGAGAGCGTACTCATTTTCAACCAATGCTTCCGGAAATTTGAGATCATCGATACCGCACACCAAAACATACACACGCGTATTTCTTGTGATGTTTCGCAAACTGTATAAATTTGGGCTAAGAACCAGTGATGATGATAATTGACGTTGCTCTCTAAATATTACTTGAAGTATTTCACTTTAAACACTTTTGCTAGGAATCCCATAACACAATAAAACCAACACTTTGAAAAAAACCTACAACGCAATGAAAAAAAATTTATGATCATTGCAGATGTTATATTTCAAGTAAATATTGTAGATAAAACATATATATGAATATTATTCTTACTAACTTGGACGATAATTCACCGCAATTTTCACCACAATGTGAAATATCCGAATCATACGAATCACAAACTCTAATAGGTATTCGATAAATCTCCTGTGGTGTTGCACATGAAGACCCAATAATTATGACAACCTCTTTCAGTGCACGGCGATTTGCGCTGCGAAATAAATTTTTTAACGCTAGCCTGATCTGCAAATTACGTAATTATTTATTTTCGAATCTATAATCTAAAACATCAAAAAAGTGATACTACTTAAATAGTAAAATGAAAATGTTACTACAATTCAACAACGTCTCAATAAACCCCAAATTGAGTATAAAAGCTTCTTTGATATTCAAATCTCATCTTAAAGAGCAAAACTTTAAAATGATTGCATAAACACAGGTTCCTGCTGGTCTAAATTCTTTGTTCTTTCCTTATAAAAAACTCAAACCTCAGTGCAACTCATCTCAAGTTGCATAATCATCATGCTAAATTTAGAGGTTCCTTTGATATCATAACAGTGTCACAATAATAAAATATATAATAAACAGATGCAATACATAAAGATTATTATCTACTGTTTTTCTCAAAAAAATATAACCAAACAAGTCTGCTTTTGCAAAAAATGCACAATGAAATTTGTATTGAGAAATTCAAAGTAAAAAATGCACTAAATGCTAAGATCAAACTTCAATAATACGGTAATAAACAGAAACATACACTTTTTATACCTCTGTATATGTTTCTACGAATTTGACTTCATTCTGAGAGCTAACAGATGACAGCAACTGGCTTACGACAGTTGGTACTACACCACGCTGGTACAAAAGAGATTGCAAGATAATATCAACAGCTTGCAGTTGGGAATGAATACAGAGACAACGTCCTAAATCGAGTTCTTCTTTTATCATCATCTTTTAAAACTTCCTAAACAGCAGAAATGATGTCTAAAACAAATATAGACTACAAGTCCCCTTATCCGACCACCGTTTTTCACAAAGTGTCAAATATTTTCATTAAACATTTCACTCAATGACAGTTATTTTCTCATTTTAAGCAACAATATTTCGGTCTCGATGAAACTAAGTTATTTTCAATACTGCTTTTTTTATGCAAAATAAATCTAGTTGCTCTATTGTTGCCGCCAGTTTTTGATGTACGAAAATTCTTAGCAAAGAAAATTACTGCATAAGAGAGGACTGATACCAAACAAAATTTAAACATTTATTCAAAAAACTTGAAAATATCAAAAGACCAACAAGTATGAACCAAATTAACAATACCACATGTTTCAAAGTTTTCGGAACGACACACATAGAATCCGGAAAAGTTAAATTCTAACTCCTATTTATTTATGATTCCGTAATAGGCTTATATTTCTGTTCAGTTCATGCTCGAAGAACAGTTATGGCAAGCGATGTGGTTTAATTTTTTTATATTCATAAATACATTATAGATGGTAAAACAATACCACATTATCAGTTAATGCAAACATCATGCCCAATTAATGCCAATACGCGACAAAGCAGAGAGCTGACATCTCTTAAAGTTATAACAGATTTCTCTCAATAAAATAGATTATTCCTTTTGATTCAAAAGTATCACTTTCTAAATTAGCACTTTTGACCAACAGCATCAAGCGTAAGCAAGATTAAATATAAATAAAGTTGAAGACTTAATTTATCTAAAGAACAGAAATTTGATAAGCCAAAAATAATAATATCAAACAAAATTTCACCGAGATCAAATTAATATGAAGTCAACCAAAGCAAATTAATAACATTATTTGCTAACCAATCAGCTTCATTTTGATTTAAGCTCGGCAATGAATCGTTCATACTCTGCTAACTTTTGCGCATCTCGTCGTCTTTTAACTCGAATACTTTCTTCATCTTCTGTTCGTTCTTTCTCGTGACCCCTAGTTTTTTCATTTTTTTTATATTCAACTTCCTGAAAAGAAAAAAAATAAAACACTGCTAGCACTGCAACATGTTTTAAAGTAATTAGAAATCAAATACTAGATTTTAAAAAATTTCGCACATTTACTTCTTCTGATGGACTTTTCTCAAGATTCCTTAAGCGATCCACTGCACGTACGTCACTTGAAATCGACAAAATTTTTACATATTTAAGCTTTGCTTCATCTTTTTTCCCATTTTTTTCCAATCTAAAATAAAAATAAATGAAAACTTGGCAGTTTTCTTTAGCATTTATATTCACAGACTTTTTTTTTCAAAATATACTTGAAGGACTGTATAACACTATCAAACGTAAAATGAACTGGATTACGAAATTGATGCGCATCATTAAACTAATTCTTATAGAGCTACTATTCCTATCATAACTAAAAAAAATCGCTGGTGACGATATTTAATGGAACTATTATCAGAGCTGTAATCATTAATATCATATGTAAAATCTCTTTCTACTTTGAAAACACAAATATTGCTTGCATAAGTAAAATTATGCTTTTCCATAAAGTAAATTTCACTCGTTTTTCCAGTTTTCGGTTTCCTAGCATTTTACTCTTCGCTCAATCACGAAACCATACTTTAAATTAATATGAATGGTAGTGAAAATCCGCACTACATGCGCGAAAATAATTTTAATACTTCTTAGCTTCTTGAAGTAATGTCTCGATCATATATTTTTGTGCATTTGCATGCTTTTCATCAATTGCTAAAGCCGCATCCAAATCCGTCTCCGCCAAAGCGTACTGCCCCATATTCGCATAACTAAATTGTATCCAGGTGAAGAAACTTCCTTCTTTAGTTTACTGGATAAAAATAAAATGCTTTATTGATTAAAACAACGACATACGCGGCGCCTCTTCCAACTAATGCTTCAATATTTTTGTCATAAATGGTAAGCGCTCTGTTGAAATGTTGTACTGCAACAGAATTGTCACCTTCTCGAATTTTCTCTACACCTCTTTTAGCAAGAGACATTGAAAGATACTCATCCTGTTTTTGACGAATGTAAGGGGCACGATGTTTTGACGTGAAATTCGAGTCTCAAAGAAAATACAATAAAATTCTTAAATATAATTTAGCAAATAAAACATTTTCTAAGTTTTAGTTAAAATAATCGAATTAATTTTTTAAAAATTTCCAAGATATCACTCAGTAAAAACTTTTTCAAATAATACATCAAACAACACCTCGTAATTCATGCAAAAAAGAAACAGTCGACTTGGTTTCTATACCAAAAAGAGTTGCTAGGTTTGGGTTATTCGCTGGCAAATAATTTCTAAGATATTCATCGAATGATTTATTTCCCATCTTTTCACCATTCCTTCAATGCATTACTTTCAAGATTATAAGCTAATGAATTTCCATATCTGGTTTCTACAAAAAAACTGAACTTGAACAAATTTAAACAGGAAATCTATTTCACAAAGTCTATTTCACAAGTCTATTTCACAAGTCTCTGGAATATGTTTTTTTTTTGTCATCTTATTTCACAAATCTTCCTTAAAATTAAATGCACTACAAATGTTAGAGAAGTTATTTTGTATAACATATTCCAGAGACTGTTTTCTGAATTTAAACTTTACTTTAGCCAAGTATAAGTTGGTTTGTAACCTAATCATTCAAAAAATGTTTCAAGTTACGCACCAGATGTTTGAGCAAAGTATTTTTAATTTTGAAAGACGAATGAAGCTAACCTGAAGTAAGCCGGTAAGTCAGCTCCTGTCAGAAGACCCTCAATTACACATAAATAAATTACAAATATGTATACGAAAATTAAATTTATTTTCAAGCAAAGCAAATCGAAAATGTTTTCTTAAATCAGAAAAAAGAAGTTTATTGTTTATTCCAGTGACAGATATTATAAGTTTAATTCATAAGATTTTCTGGAAGATTGATGGAAGTGAATGCTTACCGCTTCAACATCAATAGAAAAAATGGGTAATTTCGTTTCATCTTCGATGCCAACTACCACAACTGCAAAATGATACTATAAACTGAAAAAATAGCATGGAACTAAATCAACATACCTTTTATTAGATCATTTGGCCGATAGTCCTGCCCATTAAGCAGATTTCGTTGAAGCAGAACCTATAAATATTACGAAAAGCAAAAGATCAGATTAAAACATGTGCCTAACAAAACTGACTACATCATGAAAATCTTATATTTCATAAGAATATTTCAGAACGTTATTCTCATGTTTTACTTCCCAAATTTTATACAGCCTGAAACTTTCAAAAATTGCATCATTTATCTTTTAATGCATCACCTTAAACCAACTAATATTACATATGATGTAACAATAGGTATTTTTTTTCAACGACTGAAATCTACTTGAAATTTTTTTTTCAACGATTATTATACAAATTCGGAAATATACTACATAACACTTGAAAAAAAATTGAAAAATTTACTTGGAAATCATCAATCCATTTCAAATTTCGTCGAAATGAATGTAATGTACAGATTGGTTCAGCATAAACACCAGCAAGTTCAACACGCTTAATACGAAAGCATAACTCATCACCTATCTGAAATCACAAAACACATGTCATTTGGTTTATGGACTGCTTAAAGTTTGCCGTACTTACAAATATTATATGCAAATAGATATAAAGTTCGATTTTACAGTATGCAACAATTGAAGTACTATATACTAATTTTAATTTAAATAAGAGCACAAAGTACTGGTTGGATCTGTTTTAAGAACAGAAATTTGATATAGGTTACGCAATATTTTTATAGTCATTAAAGAGAAAAAGATTTGAAAACTCAGCTATTCTTACCCGTAAATCATCGTACAGTTTCTTCCTCGCATCCAAACTACTAATCTCTGTAGCAAAACACTCAAAAACTGGGAAAGCATCACACCTAGCGTCTAATATTACGGAAGCACTGCTCAAAGATCTATGTACTTCATTGCGATTCAATAAATCTTCATATTTAGCAATCCATCGACCATTCTCATGACGATCATTAAACCCATTCATATTATTCGCTCGATCCACATTGCTGTGGAGTGATACACGACGACGACGTTTCCTAATACTTGACATCGATGACGACATCAAATATCAATTAATCATTGTAAGTACTGAAAAATTTGGTTGAGAATATTCCACATAAAGTGTGATAGAAACGAAATTTCGAAACCATAAAATTGAGACTTCACACGTTAAAATAGATTTTAAATTTACAGAATTTGGCGTGAAATACTAGAATTAATAGAACCTAGTCTACAAAAAACACTACCACTGAAATTTAACAGACTTATTCGAATAAAAAAACAAAAAAAAATCAGGAAGCCTCAATCTCATTAAATGTGCTGTTTGTTAACGTTGTCGCAGAGAATGCGAACACTGCTTTCACATATTGTTTTTTAATATCTAACAGCAAGATAAAACTGATGTGCCGAACAACTTTTAAAATGTCATTCACGACCGATAAACAAGAGATATCTTCCGTTCACAGTAAAAGACACATGGCTATTTCAAGGAAGCAGTAATATCACTAAAACTATGCAAATGATCCTATTGAGGAACTCAAAGAAAACAACAGAATCATCATTAATTACTAGATAATGTGCAAAGGATCCCTAAAGCTCACAAATATAAATGGCACATTTTTTAATTAAAAAGCAATTTCAAATCACTAATTTCCAGAGTAAAGGTTATCTTACACTTTCCTCTATCTCACTCCATATGCTGTCAGGATTAAACTTCAAGAACGAAAAAACAGAATTATAGGACATGCTATATATTCATGAAGAATAACAAGCTTGATAAGCAGGTATGGAAAGTTTTTCGCATGCAACATGATAAACAAATTAAAATGCATTAATGAATTTTTATCTCACATAATATAAAAAAATCAAGGGAAAAACCCAAATTCTAACGCTTTGATCTACAATCCTTGAAATCATGACAGCATAAGATAACTTGGCACAGAAAGTTAATCACGTTGGATTCAAGCTTCTATCCAAAGTAATTAATTCTAGACGAAATACGTCATTAATTCTGAAAGTGTTAATCCAAATGTACAATCAAACAAGTAAACGATTAACAGGATAATCGATCATTCAGTAAAATGAACTGTTAATAAGAAATAAAAGTTACAGTTGGAAAAATCACATATTACCAGACAGTATTACACAATCACTGCATTAAACAATGAAATCTTGAATAATGAAGAAAGGAAAAATGCACAAGATCACAAAGAATGAAGAATAGTCTAAGTCTTCTGACTCAGTCAAAAATTAAGTTGATGAATTAATATAGATGATGTAACAATCAATTTCAAGTGCCTAAAAGAGACGAATGTATGGAAGACATGATGTTGCAATTTTTAAAGTATGGAATACATTTCATGTGCAATAAAAAACACCATTAGAATCACTTGAGTGATGTTGGTATGCTTAATATCAGCTTATATTAATGTTTGACTTCGTCGATCTCAAAGAAAACTTCGTATTTTAAATGAACAGCACAAGAAAATAATAAATACACATAAAATAGATCAACTGTAGAGTGAATAAAAAACAGAATAAAGTAATATAAAAAGAAATGATAACAGGATAATTCACAACGTTTTTCCCTAATTTTCAAAAATAAATTCCATGTTATAATATGTAATTATAACATCACCTAAGAGTACCGTGCATGAACTTTTTAATAACGTTGCAAGAAAATAATAAGCGCTATAAAAAATATGTATAGACTGAGCTCCAGTAAATAATTTATAGTTGTATTAGAATGAATCAAAATATTTTCATTTCGCCATTACTTATCTTGCACATCATTTTCATATATTTCACGACATCCTTCTACGTGAAATATTGCTAGTGCATTTAGTAGCAAATAACTTCCATAGGTTGCTTTCTGTGATGCGGTCCAATTTCTCATAGGGCCATAGTATTCTCCTCTCTTTACATTTGTCAAATTCTCAATACCTAGTCAATATAACTCATCAATAAAGAGCTTAATGTTTGATAAATTCATACACATGTCTTCCTGGCATATTTTGAATTTAGTGTACAAAAATAACAAAACCCGACCAGCACACGAAGAAAAAACTGAAAAACATAAGGATGAGCAAATGTACCAATAGCATCGATCATAGCTGCTTCTCTTGTAAATGCTTCCACTGGAATGGTATTCTGGAAAACATGCAAAGAAACAACGCCTCGTCCATCGGTCCAGAGATTAACAATCTTTTGAAGTTTGTTGCTTTTCTGAAATTCAAGAACAATAAACAAACAGTTGAGTGGCTTTTTTTCTCGTTGGCTACAAATGTTAGTTCAAAGTTTGTTTGATTAAACAGTTATATGCAGTTTTACTCCATAATTTATTGATACTACTGCCATTTTGCTTCACGACAACTCTTACCATTATAACGCTATCACCGAAACCTTTGGCCCGCACAGCATCCACCAAATGTTGAAAAGGACGAGAACGTTTTCCCTTACCAATATAAAATATAGAATCGACAAACTGCTTCATTGTGCAGCTATTATAAGGAGCAGCAATGAATGATGGATCTCAAACGTGTAACATGGTAAATGAGATATATGAGCTCAAAATTATCACGAAAAAGAAACACCACAAAAATGCATCAATTTTCGGAATGATATCCTTCATTTTAAGAAGATAACTGTTCAACTCACCGATCAAAATATAACAGAAACAGGTAGGTCGATTTCCTTCTCGACATTCCTCTTTCGAAAGTTTGGCAAAAGTATCCATAACAATTTGATCCATTTTTCCACCACTAGGGCACGAGCCACTCGCTATACAGCGTTCTAATGCCAAACTGTATTCTGCATAAGAAAAATAAAGAAAATCACGAATTTTAAAAAAAAACGTTGTCTGCATGTTTTTAAGTGAAAATACTCACTCGATTTCGAAGAAGAGGACAGTATATTTGCCATGATACGAGCCAATTTTAACTCATAAACAAATCGAGTGGACTCAAATAAAGGACCAACAATTTCGCCTCTAAAATTACTGTTCGCGGTACAATTCAATAAAAATCAATTTCAAACAACTGAAAAAAATTATCCTGACAAAAGGGCATAATATGGCTAAATATAGGAAAGCACTCTGTATCGTACCTAAATTCAAGATTCCAACTATTATAAAAATGGAATGTTCTTGACATTAATACTGATTCTCTCTCAAACGTGAGCAAAACTTGGCCAAGAACACTAATTTCTATTGAAAAGTAAAAACTACATAAAATTTCAAGTACCAGAAATTAATCCTAATTTCAGAATCAAAGAAGCACCATTTCATAATAAACGAAAGGAAATTCAAAACCAATCGGAAATTAGATACCTTTTAATTAATTCTCGTTTTATTTGTTCACCTGACATGAGACGAACGGCTTCTAAGATCTTTGGAGGAATATTCTCACTTTCATCTGCAAATTTTGGAGTATTTATAACCAGCAAATTATTTAAAATTAACTGAAAAAGTACATATTCCAGAAGTATATACAAGTATTTTCTCATTAGGTAGTTTTATTATTGAAAATTCACTTCAGTAACTCCTTATATTTTAAAGATTTACCCATACTAGCTGTAGACTTTTCCACCACTTGATTTTTAGAGCCAAGTTGAGTAGGATGAATACTTAACGAAGCGATTTGAGAACACAAATCATCCGAAAATTTGTCAAACTCTTTTTTCTCGTCACTCACAATAGTACAGCCATATTCTCGTGCTGTTATATACATTGCATCATTACTTTCTATTTCGCAAGGCACTGTAATATCACGTTGCTCAAAAGTATGAGGCGATCCTACTGTCGATGAAGTCATTTTTTCGGACGATTTCGTTCCTGATAAAAATTAAAAAAATTGAATCACAGGAACAGTCAGACTCTGACAGGTTTCTACATTTCTAAACTGAAGAAAAAGCAATGTTCACTGAAACATGAAGTAATATTTTGAAATAACTGGAAACCTATTTAGTATTTTCAGCAAACCATAAATTTTATTATTATTAACATTATTGGGATTGAGTAACATATTACTTTACAAAAGTGATTGATAATGAAAGACAAAAAGTAAAAACACAATGTAATTACAGAGCGACGCCATTTTAGAGTAAACCGGATAAGTAACGATATCTTAATTAGCTAATTCAGCTGTAGATGCATATAAAAAATTATTTTTAGAAACTTCTTAACTGTAATGCGAATATTACCAAATGCACTAAAATAAAAATAAAATTGACACACTGACACTGTTATAAATGAAAAGTGATATAGTATAAAACCTCAAATACAGCCAAAAAAAGTATTTACAGCAATATTTGCAGTTTACAAGCTTAAAACTTCAATGTACCTTGAGAAAGACATTGTGCTGATTCTTGCTGTACCTTTCCAGCATTATTTCTGAATAAAAGCGACTGATTTTTTCGAAAAGCCCACTGCAATCTTTTTTCATCCTTAGATAAAAAATTACTCGTTCCATCATACGATGGCGACCATGAATGAGATCTTTTTAGTTTCATCGACACTTTACTATCTTTTTGAGCCATTGGACAAGAAAAAAGCTGACATAGAGCACGCAAAAATGACCGCCTTATATTATTTCTTCCTTGAACTTCCGTTTCATAAAGACGCGAGAAAAATTTTTTAACCGACCCATTAGCCATATCTTTTGGTGTCCTGCAAAATGATGGACTCTGAATTTTCATTACGCACAAAACTGAATTTCAGGCTTTAATAAACATAACAATTTGTGAGAAAAAGTGATCGATGACTTTAATTTTTTATATGATTTTAAAGATAAAGCTCTAAAACTTTGACAAAAAATTGAATAAGAAATTTCGTAAAAATTTAAAGGGTTTTTATTGCTTCTACTTATTTAAATGTGTACTGCATTTTACTACTTCTTGTGACAAGTAATATTCTTGAAAGTAACAATTTCGAAGTGAACAACCGCATCCTGATACACAACTTGACACAAATGGCAGCAAACAGCAAAGAATCAGTACTTTAATACATTTGTATAAATTTTCGTGGTTACAAACTTGAATATCTACCGCTAATATTTCTGTATATCTTCCGCTATTTATTAACTTTAAATTCGAAATTGTTTTAACACAGAAATATTTCTCATCAGTCAAAGTTTAATAAGAGATATAATCAACCTTCCGTAATCATCCCTGTGGAAAGGATCGGCACCAAAATACATTAACAGCTGACACATAGCTAAATTATCCCATGCTGCAGCAACATGTAATGCAGTTAATCCATCCTCTTCACGTTCATGTACTTGTTTTTGACCTGTTTTCAGCAAATTATGAACAGCATCCAAAGCTGTTACAGTATCACTTGCTGCCAACAAATGAAGCAGATTAATTTTCGAAGATAACGACATTACCACTAAATTCGAAAACCTACAATGAATTTTCAGCTTCAAACTTGAATAGCTCATTAAACTTGAAAATGACACTAAAAATCTTATCCTTAAGTGAATATTTTCTTGAAAAATATTTTAACTACACATTATAAGTGCTAAGAGTGCTAAATGCTAAATATTAAATAGCAGAAACCACTCACTCAATTTTTTTCAGCAGCAAAAATGACCTGATTTTGATCAATTTTAAAAAATCACAACTTCATGTTTTCTTTCAAATACTAAACAGGATGATTGAAACATACCTCAGATACGTAATTTAAATAGTAACATTTTCTCGCGAGTTACAACAAAGTGTCCATGAACCTGAAGCAGTCCTGAGTGAATTTCTGTGTAAGCTAAATATGACAAGAACTATGAGTACTAAAAACGCTTTTAAAATACCTGTAACAAAAAAAAATACACAGCACTGCTAATTTTATAGAAAATTATATAAAATATGATATGAATATAAAAAACACAGGCATAAGGAAAATGGGTGATTAGAACGAAGTCGAAAACTAGGATTTACGACCAGAATTACTGGTAGAGACTATCATTAGAAGTAATATGACGTTAGAAGTTCTGTATTTCATTAGCGATCTTAGAGAAACACTCTCAAAGCTAAACAATGTAATATACTCACTTCCAAGTAAAGGGAACTGCATCTGAAAAAAGTTATCATGGATATCCAAACATGGGAAGGAGAGCATCGCAATTGAAACACACGTAAAATTTCTACATTTTCATGAAGCAGCTTTATGTACGAATTAAAAATAGTAACTGTCATCGAAAAAAAACGTTGAAACTCCGTTGTTCTACAACAGCTTAATAGCTGATAAGTTTCAATTTTGCAATTATTAAACTCTAAATTGCTACAAAATTATATTTAAGCACATTTTACTTAATTGCATCTTTAATTGGATTTCTAGCATCAATTTCTGGTTTTGGTGTTATTGATCACAGTTTTAGAATCCACTGCTAACTACAATCATCCCAAAAATCTGTCTTAAAACGCAGTTGAAAACTGATATAAAACAACTCTGGTTCTATGCAAATTTGAAAATATCCAAAAATTTTGTATGAATGCAAAAGCTTTGGACAAATTACAATATTTGAGTGCAAATCAAAAAGTTCAAAAGCTTCACATAAGATTGCAAACTTAGAATTAAGTTTGCAGCTCTCTTTTTTCAAGTAAGAACAACTTCTGTAAACATTATGTCATGACAGTTACCCTGTTACGAAGTTAATTTAAAAGTAAGTTAGGTAGTTCTTTCTACTGTAATAATCTAAATGCCTCAAATTCTGAAATTAAAATTGCTGTTTTCTAAACTTTTTAAAATTTGCATTACATGTGATCAAATTTTGTTTGAATTTATGCTTCAAAGAACAGACTTGTTCAATGCTAGCATTATTAGAACAATCAAAATTTTTATTTTTATGACCAGTATTGAATTACTTGAAATTATTCATGCATTAATTTTGCTAATAAAAATGATAAATTCAAAGAAAGTTTATTCAGGTATTTTATCAAAATATCTTTGCTAGCTTCAAACTTTATCCGATCATGATAGTCAGTTGTATATTTGGTCTCAACTGATAGTTCAATGATTCGTCCGTATGTACCATTCACGATAAAGATAATCTTCTGATCAGCGCAAAAATCAAAAAATGGAAGTTTGATTTTCCAATTGCATCCATTCGAAATGAGCTGCTTACTAATCTTGCAGTTTATATAAGAATCTTAATCATACTTTGTTGAGCACTTTTAATTAAGAATAGTAGTTTCAGTAAAGTTATTTTATTTTCATTTTTTTAATCTTTTTTTTTTTTGCAAAATTGAAAGTTTTTTTAGCAAATACAAAGTTTGCAAATAATGTCCAGAATTGATAACTAACAATTTTGTGCAACGGTTTATGTTTGATTTATAAAAAAGATTCTCTTAATGCGATCTATAAATGTGGTAAATACAGACTGCTAGAAGCAAAAATGAAATAATAAATGTTTGTTTAATAGCAAAACTTTCAGAAATGATATTAAATTATTCCGTTAATCCTTTGTAGTAAATATATAAAAAGCTAAAATATTCCAAAGATTATATAACACAGATTTTTTTTCAAATTCATACATACATACAATTTAGGTGAGATAAAATTTGTGAGATTTGATTTTAACTTTGACAAAAGTTTTGTTATTCTTTTAATTACTAAAAAGCATAGGTATTAAATCTAAGCAATTTTTAGGCTACTTTTTACCTCTATCTTGAACATTCTCTGAAAAAACTGTCTTGTAACTTTTATATAATCCAATTTGAATTTAATAATTCGATTGGAACTTTAACGTTTGTGACAAAACAATTATCGTGATTTGTAGTTTCTTCTGTACTTCAATAATTATATTTTAGAAACGAAAGTGAGAATCTTCTGAAAACAATGTCGAAGAAATTATTCGCTCTCTTTTTGTGCTTAGTGATAGTTACTCTTGCTGAAGTTCGTTGTACTCATTTTGAATTTGACTAATATTGGATATTTTAGACGTAATATTACCGCAATATTGGATACTTTATAATTATTTATTTTACCTATTGATTCAAGTTTCTTAAATTTAGTTTTAATTTATTTTAAACAAACAGTGAAAAATTATAGTGCAAAATACCGTCTGATCGCACACATGAAGAATATATTCCAAATTATGAGGTAAATGCAAGTTTATTTTTCGGCAAGAAAGTATTAATTAACCATTTCAGTTGTAATTCTTTACACTATATTCTGTACACTGAACTAATTAAATTTATTTGATTCTGACTACTCTGATTTAGAAATAGATTTATTGCATTGTGCTGATTGAGCAGATTCTACAAGTTTAGTGATTTTCAGGTGAGACAGCCTGATGATGAACGGTTCACCGCTAGAAGCATTCTAGAGTGGCAGGTTTGTTTGTGAATAATTTTCTGATGATCTAAAAAATTACAATTGCAACGCAAAATTACTTCAGTGTATATCTTTTGGTTTTATATAATTATTTTGTGCACCTAACACTTCCTCTGCTTTGAGTAAGATCTCATAGATAAAGCGAAGGCAAACATAAAATGAAAATACTACTGTGTTAATTACCAGGTGTTTAGAAAGTTTTGATATTTTGCAAACAGATTCATTTGATGTTGAAAGAGATTTTTGATATATCGCTTGATGGATGTTGTCCTTGTAGTAATTCCATTATGGGTTTCAAAAATTCAGCTATAACTGCAGAGATTATATCATTTCAACTTACTTTTTAAACAGAGTATTGTATACAGAATCACTGAGACTTAAGCTATCCATATACTCTTGTGCTAATTTTAGTATATAATACATAAGCATATTATTACAGATTAAGCTACTCTCACATCACCATGCAGTTCAAATAATTCTTAATCGCATGCTACACGAATTCAGTTCATACTTTGTGAACGGAACAAGCAATACAACCGAGATGGATAGAAAGATGTTGCACTGTATAACTATCCTTAAAGCTGAAAAATTCATATATGCAGTGAACAGAATCCTCAACACAAATGAAACTTTGCCATCGGTTACACTTTTTACTCATATCAGCATTCATTTTTGAAGAGATATAAAAAGATATAACAAATCGCATGTAACTTTTACTGACGAATTTAGCCATGGCAAGTTTTATCTCAGAAATAACTTGTTCTGGCTTAACAAATTACACTTTCAAATACTATTACATAATTGAATTTACAGAATATCAGTCAATCCAATCATCTTGTTTACCTTAAACAATTCGAAGTGTGTTTGCGAAAGTTTGCTCTCAAACTCGCACATTATGATCAAGCAATACACAGCTATCCAGAAGATGAACATCAGATGGATAGTTTCAGTGACGTCCTCGTCGCATTCGGTGAAGTTATACAAAGTTGCCAGCAAATAATATTTGACATTAACCTACAATATAACTACAGCATTAGTTTACCAAATTATGAACTTTAACAGCAAATTTTAATGCATTAAATGATTCCAACCCATATATTTTTAAATCTTCACCCATATTTCTCGCACAACACTCAGACTCTATATATCACTAACAAACTTACTGATCACGTATGCGGAGAGTAAAAATAACTACATTCACTCCATAAAATATATTTAATCAATACGACCCAGCGAGGTGCATGAGTTATCAAAGTAAGGTGCAGAATTATCATCCTCTTGCGTACAAATTACAACCCCACAACTAATATAAGTTACACGAATAAAAATATGAATTTCCGGCCCCCCTTGTCATAGACGTCTCGATAAATCACCGTTATTTTCTTAGCGACTTAAATATTGTGCGCTACAATTCTTCTGATTGTTACCTGATTTTTACTACATTTAGACATTTCAATTTTATTTGAGGAAGTTAAGTTTCTGAAAAAATAAAATACGAAAATCAACATTCACAGACATCAACAAAGGTGATTTTCTCTTCAATAATCTGGAGGAGTAGTCATGATCAATTCACGTACTTCGCGAAACAAATCTGCATAATCAGTATGCTCCTTGACCAGAAGAATTATGGCAGCTCGCTTGCGTCCTAAAACATATATTATTGTAGCAACAATCAGAAAGCGATTTAGATTATAAGAAAGATCTTCTCAATGCAAAGAAATTAACCGTACAAAAAACAAACAATAGCTAAACAATAGCCAGCAATAAAACATGACATTGATGCATTGAAGGCTTCACACAAACCTGCGATATAATTATCAGAAACTAAAAAAATGCAATAGGATTACAGCTTTAAGCTCAACAAGTTACACTTTAGAACTATTAGACTTATAGATACTACCTGTAGCTAGTCCAAGATGTTGACGTGAAGGCGTGAACATGTATGGAATATCTTTTTCTTCACATATGGACGGAATATGAGAATAAACATCAATCGGTGATACATCGCCTATAAGCAATCAACATCTTAAACACTAGAGAGGACAACAACAATGTTCAAAAGAAATTTTGAATCTATCAGAAAATAAAAATCAGTATAATTCAATAATCTAATCAAACATACCTGCTAGAATAACGATGCCTCTTTCATCTTTCCGTAAAGATTTGTTAACATCACTCAAACCCTGACGCAACTGATTTCCTTTTCCAGCCTAAACATCAGGATAAAATTCGAACTTGAAATGATGCGAAAAAGAATACATGAATGCCAAAGTAGTAATGATAAATACAACCAAATACCTTTCTCACCAATTTGTATATTTTCTTTGCCACTTTCCGTGATGCAAGAGGATGCGCGATAGCGTTGACCATGGTACATAATCTATCATATTCATCCTGAAAATATAAGAACTTGAGTCAGAATGCATTAACACTAGAAGACTCGTAAAATCAACACAATACTGCACTCAAAAAATAATCAGCTGTCTAGACTGACTTTCGACGTGAAATTCTGTTGTAACACGGCAAATTAATGAAACACTGAATCGTCGTTACCACTGCATAATTGACTAACTGCGAACCTAGAGCTGCAGACCATACAAAACCAATACATTACCTGACTAGTTTTAACCAACGAGGTTTCCGCCTTACTTTCATCTAGCGATGGTTTCATGTCGTCAGCGATTTCTAATTTCACTTCTGTATTTGAGTGGAGTTCAGAATTGGACTTCCCCATGGTTCTGAATACTAAAACAATTACACCTCAAATCTACCTCGCCCTTTCAAACTATGACGTGACACGCACTTAACGCCACGTTTTGAAACCATAGAGCCCATTACAAAATAAGGAACTGCGACCAAGTTATTTTATGCTTCGAACCACTACTACACCACAAATACGAATCTAAATAAGCGACAATTCTATCACTTTGAATAACAACAGAAAAATTATATCGAGTGACAAAATGGGTCTTATCTTCCCCAAATGGTAAATATAAAAGTTTTCACGATGTAGATAAATGGAAATCATTCTCATAAAATACACAAAACAAGTTGTATTTAAAAGTTTATATCCGAAAAAATTCAGAATAACAATTGGGAGCGCTTTTAGTCACCAAGTGGAACTAAATACACACAACTTTGATACGAAATCACATTTTGAACCTTTCATGAAATTTCAGCAAACAGAATATAACGGATTACAGAAATTTTTGTAGCTTGAACTCTTAAAAACTTTACATTTTTGAAATTCCGAACAATCTTTTCAAACCTGGTAACAAGTATTCACGCTAAACAAAATAAGTATTCTATGGTATGAATACAAATTATCATTAAGAATAATGCTTGAACTAACAAATGTGGAAACAACTAGATTAGATTCGTGATAACTTAAAAGTTATATTAGAAACTAGTATGCATCCAGTCTAAAAACGAAAACAAACGCGACGAACAGAAACCGGTATTAGTGAAATTCTGTTGAAAACAAAAATAGCAACATCACGAAGATTGGCAAATCTTAAATAAACAAACATAGCACAAGTATTTTCCTTTCAAACAACAAAAAAATCAATTAATTAACTTTCAATCACTATCGCTAAACTTTATTGAATGTGAACTGGTATCAATAGCGGCACCGCCACTGTAGCTACCACGCTTTTTTTTTGTTTTTTCATGCCGAAATCCTTTGCCTTGTACATTTTTCAATACATCATACGCTTTCTTGCCCCATTGATCATATGTCTAAAAACACAAATATAAAGAAAAGATACTAGCAAGACACAAAAATCATATTAGATAAGTCACTGAAAAAAACATGGGACAAATTTAACGCATTTTGGACATACATGCAACACAACAAGTAACAGTGTATAATTAACAAATTCATACTTTTGCTTGATAAGAATTATCTCGGAACTTGTTATCCAATTCATCCTTTGAAATCTTTACCCGACGGAATGGCTCATTTCTTACTGCCTGCAATATCCCCATAATTTATGAAGTTTTGAAGAAATGAGAACTGGTTTTTAACAGAAATGATCATAGCGTAAAAGCTTACAAATACCGCAGAACAATCGAAAATCTGGCATAAATCGTAGAAATTTAAAGAAACCCTACGTTATGTTGAAGTAAAGAAAAAGGTAAACTGTTCATGTATATACCTTCGTTTGCACATTGTTTGCTCTTAATTCAACACTGTGACAACTTTCTTTTCTGAAACATGAAAATCTATCATGTTTATTATTGCAATAAAAGTTAAAGCCACCGTCACAGATTTCCTTTAAAAAATTTGAAATGAAGATGACGTACCTCTTATCACCATCACCACGATCTTTATTTCCTGTTTTCCAATTTACGTTTGCTTGAGTTGGCTCTTTGTCATTTTTTTCCTAAATTATTTTCAATTTTCTTGCTTCATTTAACATGTCATGAGATACATTGGCATACGAATTAAATTATAAATAAAGCAAATATTTTGTACTCACCTTTTTTGAGCTAGAATCCCCAAAAGTTGCTACAATCCTTCCTATATCATTTTCAGCGTTGCTAAAGAATGAAAATGATTTGAAATGACATCAAGAACCTAGATTGTAAACTATAAATTATTTTCAAAAAAATGATTAAAAAGTGAGGACCAATAAAGCAAAATGTACTCAGCCAAACCTTTTATTTTTTCCACTGTTGTCAGAGTTCACATTTTTTTTCCTCTCAGTGCTATGAACACTAGTGTTCTTTATGGATAGCTTACCACCAAGCTCTGATTCCGATGAATCACTTGAACTCGAATTAGTTATGCCTGATTTCATCATTTGCGATAAATCTGGATGCTTTTTGGCTGGCTTAATTGCAGAGCTATTCTCGCTTAGGGTACTTCTATTTGTCAGCAAAGAATTTGATGCTACAGATTTTTCTTTTACAGCGTCCTTGTCACAGCTCGAAGTTAATGCATTACGGTTAGTAGATATGATTTGTTTTGCGGTCCTGCTTGATTGCGAATATTTTGATGGCATGTCATTAGTTTCATTTAAAGTTCTCAAAAGAGGTTCTGATTTCTTCTGTTTTAATTCTGCATTACTGCGTTCATTCAAGCTTGAATTTGATGAGCTCGCCGCCGCTTTACTTACTAAACCACCTGTAGTAATCGTTTCCACATTAGCACCGCCGGAAGAACTATCATCAGAAGAACTACTGTCAGTACCTTGAACTACTTCTTGTCCTTTACTAAATTCTCGTTGCTTAGCACTCTTAACTGCAGTAATCCCCGTACTTTTCCTTTTCATTCGATTTCCCTCCCCACTCAAATTGCTTAACATTTGACTGCTTACTGCAACTTTCTGCACTGTTTCATCATCAACTGAATCACTAGAATCCGACGTTGAGTTATTTTTATTTTTGAAGTCGTTCCGCACGACTGTAGGCTTCTCTTGTATGCTGGCACTGACCGACTTATTAGCTATACTACTGGAATCTGACGCATTCTGCTTTTTTAAAGCCTTCCGAAGCATAGGTGCCATTTTCTGTTTGGGTTGTAACTTGGACCTTTTAGTTGGAATTTTGTCACTGTCTTCAGAAATCGAATTATTACCATCCGAGATTAAAGCTACTCCTGATTCTTTCAGGGAAGATTTTGATGGCTTATTCAAAGTCTTTTCAGGAAGCTTTTTTTGTACTGAAGATTCCGAATTCTTGTGTAGTTCCTTATCTTCATCACTACTAGAAGTACTGTCAGATGAAGATTGCGACGGTTTTGCAGCAAGAGCTTTAACTGCAGATTGCTTCAAACTTTTCGACGCTTCATTATCATTGCTATCGGTGCTAGAACCAGTGTCAGATGAGTTATTCGCAAGAGTCTTTTTAAGAGCTTTTTTCTGCATTGAAGGTTTGAAGTTCTGGTGGGGTTCCTCATCTTCGTCACTACTGGAAGTACTGTCGGATGAAAGTTGCGACGGTTTAGCAGCAGGAGCTTCCAGTCGAATAATCTGTTTTTTCGACGCTTTATCATTACTGCTATCGCTACTAGAAGTGTCAGACGAACTTTCAGACGGCTTATTTGTGATAGCTTTTCCGATAGATTTCTTCTGCGGCGATTTCGAATATTTGCAGGAACCATCATCTTCACTGCTGGAAGAACTATCAGATGATGGTAGTGATGGTTTCGTTACAAGAGCTTTCACTAGAAGAGTTTGTTTTTTCGACGATTCATCATTACTGCTATCGCTACTAGAAGTGTCAGACGAACTTTTAGACGGTTGATTTGAGAGAACTTTTGGGGGAAGTTTCTTATGCTGCAAGTTAGAATTCTTGCAGGAATCGTCATTATCTTCACTGCAAGAGGAACTATCAGATGATGGTAGTGATGGTTTTGTAACAAGAGCTTCCATTGGGAGAGTTTGTTTTTTCGACGCTTCATCATTACTACTATCGCTACTAGAAGTGTCAGACGAACTTTTAGACGGCTGATTTGAGGGAACTTTTGGGGGAAATTTCTTATGCTGCAAATTCTTGCAGGAATCGTCATCGTCTTCACTACTAGAAGTACTATCAGATAAAGGTTGTGATGATTTCATAGCAGGAACTCTCACTGGAAGAGTCTGCTTCAAACTTTTCGGCGCTTCATTAACATCGCTGTCACTGCTAGAACTGCTAGACGAACTTTCAGAAGACTTATTCGCAATAGTGTTTTTCAGAGCTCTCTTCTGTACCAAAGATTCCAAATTCTTGCACGGCCCCTTATCTACATCCCTACTAGAAGTATTGTCAGATAAAGATTGTGATAATTTATTAGCAGGAGTTTTCACTGTAATAGTTTGTTTCGAACTTTTCAGCCCCTCATTATCACTGCTAGTAGTGTCAGATGAACTTTTAGAAGACTTATCTCCAACAGTTTTTTCAACTGAATTATTCTGAGATTTTGGATTTCTGTAGAGTCTATCATCTTTATCACTACTAGAAGTAGTGTCATGTGAAGAAAGCAATGTTTTCGTTGCAGCAGCCTTTTCCTGAACAGGCGCCTTCTCATCGTTATCACTACTAGAAGTGGAGTCAGACGTAACGTCTGATGGCTTATGTGCAGTACTTTTTGCGAAGGATTTTTTCTGCTCTGAGAATTTTAAATCCTTACGAGGACCCTCATTATCATCACTACTAGAAGTACTATCAGATAAAGGTTGCGATGGTTTAGTAGCAGAAGCTTTTAATGGCAGAGTCTGCTTTTTCGATCCTTTATTATCACTGCTATCGCTACTAGAAGTGTCAGACGAACTTTTAGACGGTTTATTTGAGTCAGCTTTACCAGGCGACTTCTTCTGCTGCGATTTCAAATTCGTGCAGAAATCATCACATTCACTGCTAGTACTATCAGATGGACATTGTGATGATTTAATAACAGAAGCTTTCACTGGAGCAATTTGTTTCAAACTTTTCGGCGTTACGCTATCATTGCTGCTGATAGAAGTAGTGTCAGACGAACTTTTAGATGACTTATTCGCAGAAGTCTTTAGAACTTTCTCCTGTCTTGAATTTTTCAAATTCTTATTAGGCTCCTCATCTTCGCTGGTGCTAAAAGTACTGCTAGATGAAAGTTGTGATGATCTAGAAGCAGGAGTTTTTAGTTGGAGAGACTGTTTCAAACTTTTTGGCGCTACATTATCATCGCTGCTGCTGGAAGTGTCAGACGAACTCTTAGATGACTTATTCTCAAGAATCTTTTCAATAACTTTTTTCTGCCCTGAAGGCTGCAAGTCCTTACGACGCTTCTCATTTTCGCTATTGCTAGGTAAAGATTGCGATGGCTTAGCTGCAGAAGTTTTCACTGGAAGAATTTGTTCCGAAGATTTTGATGCTTCATCATTACTGCTACCACTACTAGAGGTGCCAGATGAACTTTTAGGCGATTTGTTTATGAAAGTTTTTTCAGATTTCTTAAGCAATGAACGTTTTGCGTTCTTGCAGGATTCATCACTTTCATCGCTACTACTAGGAGAGCCTTTGAATGTCTTTCCTACGAGAGCTTTTTCCTGAACAGAGGACTTAGATTCACTCGGCGCTTTAATATCACTGTCACTATTAGAAGTGGAAGACGAAGTGCTTGATGGCTTATTATTAATAGTCTTTTTGAAGACTTCTTCCTGCACTGAAGACTTTAAATTATTGAGAGACTTTTTACGTTCGTCACTGTTTGGAATGCTACCGGACGAATTCTTAATTAATATTTTGGCCGAAAACTTTTTATGAGGCGACCTGTTCAAATTCGGAGATAGTTTTTTATTACCGTCAACAACTGAAGCAATGCCAGATGATTTACTTGCAGACACTTTTTCCTGGAGAGTGTTTTTAATGTTACCGTTGGGTTTATCATCGTCACTACCAGAAGTGCCCGATGAACTTTCAGGTAGTTTGTTCGCAATAATCATACTAGTGACTTTATTCTCAACCGGAAATTTCGAGGTTTTAACATTGCTGTCATCACTTGAAATAGTATCTGATGAACCTTCGGATATCTTATTTTTTGGTGTAGTTTTCAAAACTGAATGTTCTATGCCTTTATTAGCATTTCCATCTTCATTCCCTGATGTGTTGCATGACGAAATTCGAGGGGCATTATTTGAAGAAACTTTTTCAAGAGGTTTTTTCGACATAATCATCTTGGCATTCTTGCTAACATAATTCTCAAGATTTGCATCTTTCTTTATGTTAATACTGCTAGAAGTGTTCTTCAATTCAGTAGATGAGATATGCTTTTTGGCCTGCAGAGCTACGAACTGTGTTGTTTTTGCTTGAATTGAATTACTTGAAGGATTAATAGAACTCCAAGCCTTCGATGCATATTTATCGGTTTTCTTGGATGTACCGCCAATTTTTTCTAACGATCGGCTTGTGGCAGTTACATTATCAGAATCTGATGAAAAGCTTGAGGTTAGCTCTTTCGATACAGGATTTGCTGATTTCATATTTTTTCTACCTTTCTTTAAGTGTAAATGTTCCTGAAATGCTCCAGTAAAACTATTACTAATATATCAAAAAGCAAAAAGCTGCGAAAAAAAATGGTTAACATATGTGAATATAATAAATGTCATGATGAAAAAGCTATGAGTACTATATACATATCAAAAAAGGATCGGGTCAGAGTACCTTCTACAGACATTAAAATTTTTGAAAATGTATAAAAAACCTTCTCACAATCGGAACTTGAATCAGACGACGTCTCATCATTTCCTCGATTAACAAACTGCGACAGTTTAGCTTTCTTCTATAAATGTATAGGCAAATAAATTAAACACTATTTGACCGATACCTTGAAAGCTTTGAATAAAATGTCCACTAATATGAAAACTTTACAGCAAAAATCTGTAAAGATAAACTTGATCAGTTTTAAGCAACAGTTTGATTTCAGACACTGCTTAAACTTAAGCGATATAAATCGCTCAGCTCTGATGTGCCTTGACCACCCTATCAATGTTTTTTAAATAATCTATAAAGTACAGAGAACACCAAGCAACAGCTTCTTAATTATCTATACTAATTAAAAAAAGAAATAAACCGACCCTAGCATCAGAATTATTGTTCGAAGATGACAAGGGAGGCCGTTTCGCTTTACCATCATTTATTATCTTCGCCTAAAACTCCTAATTACATTTGTATGTATCTTCCTCTGTTCTTGATTATGCAACTGAATAAATAGTGCAGATCAAATGTATTGTTTTCATAATTTTTACCACAGCTTGCTTGACAGGATGATCACTATCTGAGCTATCACTTGAATCACCAACTTCGTGTTGTTTTAGAGATTTTTTGGCAACCGGTGGCTTGCCCGTAGCATCATGTGCACGACGTTTCCGACGAATAATTTTATTGTATTCCATAACGACTTCTTTCAAATGTTTAAAATTACCGGAGGAGCGCTGTAAAACTTGATTACATTTAAAAATATAAGAAATGATGAAAAATAATTTCCAAATGTATTTAAATAACTGAATTTCATGATAAATGACTGCACAACTTATTTCAGAAATTGCAGTAATGTTGAAAAAAAGTCTTCAAAATTCAGCACTTCAGAAAAAGTAGTGAGTCATTCTGAAACTTCTGAAAAAATAAATGAACATACCCGTTTTTCTTCAAGTTCAGCTCGTTGCTGCATGCTAAACACCTTATTGACTAATTTCGGCTCCTCAGTGATTAAATGATCATAAAATAGAACATCAAAGTCAAGTGCAGGTGATTCGTCTGCCATATCTAAAAATATCGATAATTAGATATTCAAAATCCTAAGCTTGAACATCTTAAATTCTTCTCATTAGAAATGCGAAACACAACAAATAACCCAGAAATACAAACACTACTACAGTAAGTGATCTATTTCTAATTCTTGCTGAGTTAGCTATATGTAAGAAATTGGGAAAGTAAAAATCTATATAACAATGTATGAAATATGCTATACAAGTCCAATAATTAATACACGACATGACAGATGAAATATAGCAAGAATCAAAGAACATTGCGTTTCGAGTAACTGATGTAAAATTCAGCAAGAAGATACGGAAAATTATTCAAATTCAGAATACACTCGTCTTATGACAGAATGTAAAAAGACTTAAATAAAACTATCAACTCAGATGACAATGATATTGACACAGTAATGACCAACTAGTTGAGCTTAAGAAGCTGATAATAGTGACAGTGGTACTGACCGAAAGCACCAGCAACAAAAGACTAGAACAAGTAGTAAATAACAAAAAACAAGACAGACCAATACCTAAAGCACTAAACCTGAATTCTGATGTAGTTGCATAGTATCAGTATTCTACGTGCATCATACCCAATATGCAATGAATTGGTCTCAGAGCACAATTTTTGATCACACTGCTTTTTTCATTGACCTAATTCTTTCTGTTACGACACATAATTATTAGTATAGTTATTCGATTCTTATCTTACTTTGCCAGTGATATTAAGATCAACCTTGGAAGTTGCAGTGAATCGGTTCTTCAAATATGTGGACCACGTTTATTTTTATAAAATTGTGGGCATTGAACAAAATATGCCTAATTACTTGCAAGAGTAAATATTATTTCCTTACAATTAATCAATCGTAAAGTCAAGATTTATTGAATATTGGTTTTTATGTACATGATTTAATTATCTTTTTAAAATAGTGTAGCTTATTTTTCAAAATAAAGTATTTTTTGTACTTTTCCAACTCCCATAACACATCAACTTGCTTAAAGTTATCGATCAGCCTAGGTATGGTATTGCAACGATTTATAAATGCCAAACATTTATTTAAAACAGAAATAATTCATTAATAATTGAAACAAGCTTGCATAATTGAAGGGAAGAACGAATATACAGTAATGTTTGGAAGTAAAAGTTACAACAACGAGAAGTAAAGAATGAAAGAGCAAAAAAAGAAAGAATTATCATTATTTATCATAAATGCAGCCGTAATTAATGCTGTAATTGTGGTAGCGATTTCTTCCAATTTCGGAAACGTTCCAGAAGGCTTTCCGTGAAAAGCATACACTTGCTAACTTTTACCTGCAGAAACCCTCACTTCAAGACTGTATTTTGAGGTTGCACACGAAATGCTTCGTGCAAGTTTTTTTGGAAAAGTAATTGAAATCTTATTTTGTAAACTACAGTTTATCGTGTGCTCTCTTTAAATTATTCATTACATCTCTATTCATTGGCTATATTTTCAACTGTTTTTATAAGCCATATCAGATCGGATTAAATCAAATCGTATCACTAAAGTTTACAAAAGAAATTTGAACTACATTGTTAGTCACATGATATTCAAAATGGAAATTACGAACGCTTTATGACCTAATTAGACTGATTATAAAAACTTGATGCTCAAGCAGATCAGTCAACCCACATGATCTACTTTTGTTCCAGAAATATTTTATTATTAATTAATTATAATGAAAGGAATAACCTCATTTTCGCCACCCATTTGTTGTCGTTTACGTTGCGAATATCTTCGAATGGCAGCTTTGAAGTCATTTTGCTCTTTCTTTATTGTCTCGTCTATTTTCAGTTGAAAGGGCTGAATGGATATTATCTTTTAAGTACAATACGTTGACGTAAAAGTTCAACGTTTCTTTTTTTTAAAACTATTTCTGACTATTTTTTCGGCTAAAAAGCTATCAAATAATTGACTTCCAACTTAGATGGATTACTGTAAAGTTTATTTATTTTCTAAAAATCTTTATTCAAATTGTGGCGAAAAAATTACCCATATTGATTAATATGAGTGATTTATGTGGTATAAGTATGACTGTAATTTGTAAAGTAAAAATTTTCTAAGAAAATGAAAGAAACTTTTTGTATTTAACAAGTGTTAGAAGTAATTGTCTATCACAATTATCATTACTTTATAAGTTTTATCAGTTTTTTTGGTACAGACTTTAGCATCTCCCATAAAGTCACGCCAGTCCGTACATAGCGATTCTTTAATCTCAGCAATAAGACCCACGAGGAGATCATCGACATCCAAATTCAACGCTACCGATACTTCGTAATGTACGAAATTGTAAGTCATCGATGCGCTTTTTGCATCTAAATTCAAAGCATTTTTCAATTACAACAATACTAATTGCTTATCATTATTATAACTTGATTTTAAATAAATTATGCAAGTAACAAACGGATACTAAGATTAAACTGTGGCCTACCATAGATCTTCCATTTTCAGTGACTAAGAAATGTAATGAAACATACTTGATCTCTCAACTAATTAGCATTATTTTTATTTATTTATTTATTTATCTCATTATCGGAATTATCAAAATTTTATATTCGACCTGCTTTGCTAACAGCACGTTTTCGTTCCAAGTCAACTTTATTTGCAGCCATTACTATAGGCTTATGTCGTGACAATGATGACTCACGTAAGCAATCCACCACGTACATTGCTTGTTTAAAAGAACTTTTTGAATCAATGCTGTACACGAGTAAATAAATATCCACTTTAGTATTTATCCAGGAGTCATCCTGAAATGAATCAAAACTTAGTGTAATGGTTGTACAAGCAAAAATAATTTTAATAATTTGGTTTCAGCTCACTTCATATGCTTTCAGCTTTAATTTAAGTGATTTCAGCTGATTTAGGTTTCATTTAACTTGAACAAAAATTTCAAACATTATCGTTATCAATGTTGTCTGGAATTGCTCAGCAATATGAAAATTAAGACAAGAAATAAAAGAATCACTTACGATAGTTGGATCAGTTTCGTAAAATGTAAGTTCACTTTCCTTGTCTCCAATGATAATTGATACTGTGTTGTGGATTTGTTCTGCAAGAAAAAGCAGATTTATTTCACTCAAACATTTAGAAATTTGAAAAATTCCAAATTTATTGCATGTAAAATGAAAGTTAATATATTATCACAAATCAGTGAGTAAATTACAAAAAGATTAAATGGCAGTTACAACCTATGTCCGTAGCGTACGTATTACGATGATCCGACGTCATAAATTGTCCAATAAGAGCACTTTTGCCAACACCTGTGGCACCCAACACGTAAATCTAAAATATCACAAATTACAATTTAAAAGTTTTTAATTAATTTTGATAAGCAATTAATCGCTATATGGTACTGACACTGATACTGATAGGATCCAACAAAAGTAGTTTAGATTCCTTTTGAAAGTTCGTCGTAGCTAAAACTTCAAAACTGTAAGATCCATTTCGTAGTCCGATTCTGAATCAAAATAATTGCTAAGAATTTTAATTTCTGACTTTATAGTGAGTAGCACTTGTTGATGGTTGATTATTTTCATCTTTTTCACTATTCGCTGCCTGCGTAAGATCATTTATTATTAAACGTGAATTATCTGATTCATTTGAATAATTCGAGTCGTGCGATTGATTTGAATCTAGTCCAAGTTCTAAAATTAGTTTGAATCTCACGAATAATTGACACAAATTTGATAGAAGAAGTATAAAAAAAGAATTTATGATAGGTATATTATTTTAAAAAAAGGCAAAAAATTTTATAATTGAAAAATTTGCTAATTTTGTATGATTGTTTTTTATGGAATTTTTTGATATGAATTCTTTTCAAAATTATTTGTTCAATCTAGCAAAAAAAGCCTTTATACTTATATTTTATAAACATCATTTTATGTTCTAAGTAATCGCTAATGTCAGTATGTTCAACTAGAAAATTTTAGCATTTAAGAAGTTTGAATTTAGAAAAAAAATACCTTTCTTGGCACTAGCCGGGCTTTTTAGACGGAAGGAATCTCCCCGGCAAACTACCGTGCCCTTTTCATCGATATTAAATTGCCGAACTCTCGTGTAGTCTTCAGAATCTAACAAATTCCGAAAGTGTTCTTCAAAGATACTCGTTTTAGGTTGCGGCCAAACATCTACTCGTGTGATATTCGATGGCCGATGCCTTAATCAGTCAATATTTATCAAATTTTAGTGTATTAAATGCAAAGCTTTCTAGAAGTTTGCAAAGTTCTAAATTTGCTATTTTACCAAACAAAGTTTGATTGGATAAAGCAGTAAAGAGATCAATCAGATTATGCATTGAAAGCATATTTAATTTGTGAATAAATGATGCATAAATACCAAATTATTTCCTTCTTTGTAATTATGCATTGTGCAAATAAATATTATTAAATGTTAATTAAATATTATTAAAATAAATTTTGAAATAATTCAGCTAACAAAGTAAGTTTGAGTGATTTAGAGAAATTAGAACTGATAATCGACTATTTAACAAAAATGATAAGAAGTTTTCTGTTGAGCTTAATTAGCTTTATGAAAAGAAGCGATGGAAGCGATGAAAAGAAGTACTGAAGATGAACAAACGCTATAAAAATGTAATAGCAAAAAATAAGGCTTACAGATGAGATAGACTTCAAGACTTACTACTGACTGCATGACTGAATTCCCAAATCTTAGATGCATTTCAGATCTGTACTCATCATTTGTCTACATCAAAAAGCAAACTTATACATACCTCAACTAGACAAGGCTTACTAATCACTCTAAATTTATATTAATAAAACAGGTATGTGAACCAGGTTTTGCTTAGAAGAGAATCACTTGCAAAAAACTGTCTGATTCTCAGTGAAAAATTAGATTTTTGTGAGTCACAAAATGATTCAGCGAAGAATTCTTAGCAACATCTGCTTGTATTCTTTTCTTCACCTTAGCATCCTTCAAGTGATGACAAGTAAGATTTATCACTTTAGAAATTATATGAAATATCTGGTCATGGTCGATTCAGTAAATTCTTACAGTTGACCTGTAATTAACTTCAATTACCAATGGTCGTATCATCATTTATTTGGCAATTAAAGTTAATTACTAGTCAGCTGGAAGAATGCACTGAATATCGTCGGAAATAACGGCGATAACATAGTTCAAAGGTTAATATTTCTCAAGTGAAACAAGGTACAACTATTAGTGTGGTAAGAAAAGCTCTAAAAAATGGAGATTTTGATTTGGAAAAAAAGAAAAGTTGGCAAAAATGTATTCAGATTAGTACCTAACAAAATTTTCGGTAGTACTGCTGAAAAACAATTGAAAATTTGTGACAATTCCGATGTATTTATTGATTCGTTAATATTTTATTTAAAGTAATTAGTTTCAAGAGAATTAATCGGATTACACGCTTTGTCATCAGATCATTCTCGCAAAAGTGACTTCTATCTTCTGTGTTAGTTTAATTGTGTGGCTGTGCACAAACTGTTACCTTGTGATCAAGAATTTAGAACAGAATTTATAGTTCTGATTATTAGTTTGAAAGGATATCCAGAAATTCACGATTAAGCATTAATATATAAACATTCAGAAATCAACTTAGATCGTAGTTTCGAAGAAAATTTTCATCTTAACTATACAAATGGTTTCTGGTTGATATATGTCGGTGAATTTGACACGTTTAATTAATTAATACTTATATCAGTGTTCTTCAATGTATTATGCATTTTCATTTGTAGCAACAAAAATCTGTCAAAAATTCATGCAAATTTGCTTTGATTAATTTGTTGCACTGAAGATGACTAACAACTGATTGTTATGATCACGAGCCTTTTTTGGTCACAAATATTAACATCTACTTTAGCAAATATTATTATCTTTATATTTTTTCATGAAAATTTTTGTCTACACTTTAGAAGCCAAACCTTTGACTTTGACTGTATCGTCGAGTAATTATTGGCGTAGAACGTCGCCTCTCCTTGACTTGTTGAATACTATCTTCTAATGGGTAACGTTTCACACTTGTGGATACACGTGACCTATTTCGAAATGATTGTGAACGTAAGAGCTGATCGAAATCTGACATCATTTTACTGCAAATACTTTTTTTCGTGCGAAAATAAGTTCATTAAAGTCATTAACTTAGCATACAAGAGATGTGATAGAAGTATTAAATCCAGCGTGAAACACTTTAACTCATGCAATCAATCATTCTATGTCGCGAATTTCTTATGAACTGAACTGTCAGTCTTTAGCATAATTATTAGTGTATTAGTTGCTAATAAATGAGATAATAAGACTTATAACAACTTTAATTCGTTAATTTAATCTCACAAAATTCTCAAGGTGTGCTATTTTTGAAGAAAAAAAGACAAATTTTAAGTAATTCACAAAAAAAACAAGTTTTAAATACGACAGAAAATGAAGAGTTTGTTGAGATTTGTTTCCTTTTTTTCAAAAATTGTTTACTAAATTTTTAATCGAATTGTGATAAAATGAAACCGTTGTTTTTCGCTCTATTAAATTTCAATCGTTTCAAATTACAATAGGTGCTAAGATTTTATGAAAAATAATTGAATTCGACATTTGACACTATTTGTCGAATAAATTTTCCCCACACAATTAATATTCATCAAAGAGTTCTTTCAGTGCACAGTTTTTTGATAAATTATTGCAATAATTATTTTTTAAATATTTATTAATTTAAATAAATAAAAATATTATTATTGCATACGAAATAGTATAATAGCACATCAAATATTGATGGAATAAAGCTTAGAAATTGAATATGTAAATTTTAGAATTAATTATTTTTCATTGTAAAACTACTTTCAGTTGAACTTTTAATTTAAGTTTGCAACTAAAAGTGTTAAAAATTTTTTAAAAGTCTAACGAAGTCTGAAATGAATCACAATGTCATGCAGAAATTGCATACAAGACAGAAAGATTTCAGTGTGAGTAATAGAAATTGAAAAAGATTTGTTGTTACTTTTGTGGTCTTATCAAAAATAAGCCAAAATAAAATAGAAATCACAATGGAAAACAGAAAAAGACCTGTGAGTGGCAAGGAATAAAGTAAGATGTCAAGTTTGAATATAAAATTCAAATTAAATGCTTCATTCCTACTAAGTCTCACTTAAGATTCATCCAATCCTCTGAACAAGTCAAAAGTTTAACGAAAAAGACCTCATCTTATTTCTTTGATATTTTAAACTAAAGAAGAAAGAACGATTAAGTTAGCACAGTTCCATTGCTTAAGCAAACAGTTCCCAAACATCTGGTGGCTGCTCATCCAAAACACACCTGGAAATCCCGGAAGAAAAATGCACACAAAAAATTCTAAGTGTCTACTAAAACACAAAGTACATCAATGCTAGCAGACATGTTAATGTTTTTAATAATTCAAATTACACTGACATTCCATAATTAATGCATATTTGTTTTAATAAATTGAACAAAAATAATGATTATTGAAAGACTGAATGAAAACGCAAAAAATATGATAATATTATATTAAAATCAGCTCAAAAATTGAATCCATTTATACTCTTGGAGTCATAAACTCAAATTCATAAATTAAAAGCAATTATAATTGAATGAAAATATTTGCAATTTTAAGACTGAAAATCATCACTGACTGCATTCTCAGGACTTTTGCGCTTTTTTCAGTCTTTAAATATTAAAAAAAAGCCTTATGTCATCACAAAAGCTAAAAATATTGCAATTATTTTATGTTGATTTTTCAGAAAAACAAATATTCTTACACAATTTAAAAAAATTAGTATAACTTGTAGACTAACAATACAAATAATTGAAAGTATCTATTTCGTAGCAAACAAATTCAGCAAATAATAAAGCCTTATTTTACGCTTACACAAGAAGTCATTCATTTCTTTTAAACTCAAGATAAAGCACAGAACTGAATCATAAATGAATAGCTGTCTTGAATGACTTGAGAAATATATATTATTGTTGTGAAAAGATATTTTT